CACCTGCACTGGCACTGGCCTCCCCGGCACCCCCGGGACACCCACCTGGTCCTCCTCCCCGCCACCCTCCTCCCCGTAGTAAAAGACGTTGTCCCGCGTGTCATCCTCAGGCAGCAGCAGCGGCTCCTTCGTCACCTTCCTCCTCCTCACGAAGAGCAGCAGCAGCAGCAGGATAGCAGCAGCAGCAGCAGGATGACTGGGGGGAGCAGTGGGCGTCAGCAGGGACGTGTCCCCCCCCTTCTGCCCCACGGGGGGGTGCAGCCCCGCAGGACCGGGACCCCCAGGGAACCCCCACTCACGCAGCAAGGCCAGGAGGGCGCCCAGGGCGGCGAAGACGAAGGGCAGGCCGGTGGCGGGCTGGGGTCTCTGGGGACAGCTCTGCGCCGGCCCCTCGCAGTCGCAGACCCGCGCAGTGACGACGGTGAGCTGGGCTTTGCCCGGCTGGTCGAGGAGCCGCAGGTAGACGCTGTAGAGGTCTGGCTCCAGCGGTGCCACCAGCCGCAGGGTGACCGTGTCACCTGCATGAGATGGGTGGCTTGTGGGGGGACGCACCGGTAATGCCGCCACGGCGCAGCCTGCCTCGCGCCGAGCATCCCCCCGACATTACCTTCATCGCTGACCTCCATGGCCCAGCTGGCCCCCGAGCCGTGGCTGAGCTCGGCACGGAAGGGGCCGGTGTTAGGGGGCAGGTCCCTGTCGGTGATGGCGAGGACCTGGGGCTGGGGACTGCGGTTGCAGATGGTGATGTCCCGGGGCTCGGCCTCGGGGCCGTGGTCGTTCACATCGAGCAGGGTGAGGAGCAGGGTGCCGGTGCCCGTGGCGGGCGGCAAGCCTGCGGGGAGGAGTGATGCTGGAGGAGAGCTCCCCAAAACCAGGACCCTCATGGGGACAGGGGTGCCCCGAGGAGGGGTGGGGACAGGCAGCCCCCGGCACCGCTCCGTGCCAGAGCCGGGATGTGCTTCCCGGCGACCACAGCACATGTCCCTCACGTGGGACGGCGGGAACAAGGGCCCCTTTCACGGCCCTCACCGTCGTCCACGGCCAGCGGCACGGCGGTGTAGGGGCTGTTCTTGGCGAAGGGGGACTCGCGGTCCAGGTGGTCCCACGCCGTCACGAGGCCGTTCTCGGGGTGCACGGCCAGCCAGCCCGCCGGGTCATGCCCCACCAGGTACCTGGGTGGCAGAGGGGAGCTGGTGCCACGGCGGGGGGCAGTGGGGACACCCCCCCCCCCCACCCCAACCCCCACCCACGACCCC